ATACTGATGTTCCCTACTGCAGGGGTCAGGGACAATACTGATCTTGTTTTGTATGAGATGGTTACCAGTGTATCTGTTTAAGTACTTGTGATTCATTCCCTTAACACAGTTTTATTATTCAACATCTAATTAGATGTAATTTATTTCATTTTCACCAGTATTATGTGGAAACCAGTCTGCTGATGACACCAGCCCACTGTTAATGTTATTGACATGTTATATGTTTCAGAAAAGCAAGATTTATGGATGTCAACTTCTTTATAGTGAATAACATGGCATTTCATCATCTGATGAAGGAGCGAGCGTACACTCCGAAACGTGTTGTTATTCACAATAAAGAAGTTGACATCCATAATCTTGCTTTTCTTATGCATTCCACTTCTAAATGCCCTTCAAAGATGTGATATATGTTATTGATGCCTTGAAACAAAACCTGTTTGTTCGAGTATATATACAACAATCACTGTTATCAATGCCCTAATGTGACATACCCTGAATCATCATTCGATATCAAAAGGTGACCATCAAACTGCCCTATACAGGAAATTCAGTGATGCCAAATGATAATATGTGAATCAGGGATGAATTGCTGTGAAAATAGCAACAAGAACAGCAAACTTTAGAATTGTATTGGTGGTTCAGTAATCAGTGATAATGGTTGCAGTTTGATTTTGTTAAAATAATCAGTAAGGTGAAAAATATGTCAGTGTTATTGTTTTTTCTGGGCTATCATGCAAGACGTGCTTATTCTACAATATTGGTTACAACTTTTTAAACATGGTTAAAGTAATGGGAATTTGAAAAGAATATCACTAAGACTATTGATCAATGTCCTTGTCTAGTTACCTAGTTTTAGGTGCATCAACATTTGAGCTGTTTGTATTCCCTTGATATATGATACTGATATTGATCCCAATATTCAACAAACGAAGTACAGTCAAACACTGCTATGTTGGAGCTGAAAGGATCTGTGTAAATACTTATAACTATCCAAAGCCCAACACAACCACAACAGGATGACCAAAGAAAGAATACACAGGAAGTAAGCTTTAACTTTGAGACAAGTGTTTGTTTGACACATGAAAGTTGTACACAAGGGTCTTTGACTATAATCACTTTTTCAAACAAAAGGATATAAAATCTAGTAAAGGTTTGCCAGAGGAAATTTTCATACTTTCATACCATGCTTTTATTTGTTAGCCAGATTAGAGATGACACTTTGGGAGTATTACTTTGATTTCTCTTATTGCTATTACATGACTTGTGGACCTATGAGATGAGATTTTCTTGGAGACACTCCAAGAAGGCAATGCTGTAGGGACCATCGTGTCCATGAGGGAGGGAACATGTGCAGCACTTCCCCAGCCCTTTCACTTGGCTGGATGAGTGAAATGTCAAGTATATATACTTGGTAGACCACACCTCATTTGTGTGAGGCAGGGCAGGAGTTGGTAACTATACCAGTGGGTATCTATGGTAAACTATGTATGTGATGTATGACGCTGTACATGCTCAACATTCCTTTGGGTACTGGGTAGTGGATGTGTGGTAAGCCATCTATGCAATGATGACATTTCCCTGCAGTGCTTATCTCTTCCTGTTCCTCAACGCATATCCCACGCAATCATTCAGCCTACATGTTGTTATGTCCCTTATAGATTCTACTGTTAACACACCTGAAGCTGCTTCATGTTGAGTTTATGCCTTCTGCATGTCGGTTTGAGGAACTTGCAAAGTAAGCTATTTTGCTTGAAATTTGAAGCTGATACACTTGCTATGGCAACCAGAAATACATGTGAGAAGTGCTCCCGTAATGTCACACGTGACCTGTACAGCTATTACTCAGGCAGTGTTGGGATGTTTTCATGATTAAGTATGAGCTGCATCCTATTGATTTGCCCTGCCCTGCATCTGGTGGTGAGCAAGCAGCTGTGATGGTGAGCTGGGAGGGAGGTGTGTACAAGAAAGTTTTCCACACAATGTTGGACCTGCACAGCTCAGACAGGTGTCAGGTGGTTAGTTCAGTTAGTTACTGAGAGAGTTCAGTTAGTGAGGACTAGTGAGCAGATAGTGATACTGGCATGCTGCCAGCGCCCAGGATTACTGGTGCCTGTACATGTTGTAGTTAGGACAAGCCCAGGTCAACATAACACTCCTGCATCAACAAGTCTATTGTGGCCCTTAGCGGTAACTGTGCTGTTATTTGAATGTGTTATTCAGATACAAAGAAGGGTGACTAACTTGTATGGCCTGTGGCATGGTTCCAGCGTGCTGTGCCAGTACTTGGTGTATGCATGTAGAACAACATTGTATGCTTGGTATTCACTGCTTGTTGACAGATATAGTAACCTAATCACATAGAATTGATCACATTGAACTACCCATTGACAGAGTTGTTTTATACTGATAAGACTTATACTGTAGATGAGATAGATTAGGTAGCATATGTCATCAGACTGTTGTGGCTTGGTGAGTGTTTCACAGTATATGATGGTGATATTGATTGTTGTGTAATGGATATGTGTAGCAGGTTATTCAGTTCACTGAGACAGACAGCTCAGACAGAAGGCCTTTGTTGTTGACATTAATAATTCCGCTTAGGTAGAAAGGCATGTCAGATACCCTCAAGGAATACACTACAGCAGATTATGATAAACTCAGAGGTTTAATTATAGTGTCAGGTAAGGTCTTCTTTGTAGATACCAGAACACTTTTAATCTCTAAGCTGATTTATAAATTATCTGCATTATTATTGGATTTTGTAGAAATTCTATCTCCCTTATGGTGGAGTGGATGGAGAGCTGTTCTTACTCTGCCTGCCATTTGGCACTTTGAGGGTAACACAAAACACTGGTGGGTTTGGAGTTAATTCCTTCAAAGAAAAATATGGCCAAGTTCTGTAAATTCCTCTTCCCTACAAGCATTAAAACAAGGGAATTTCTATTCAGTGAAATTCATCCATTAAATAGAAAAATGCTCATTCATGTCATTTAATATCAAATATATGAGGCACCAAAAGAATGTGAGTATAGTAAAGTGAGCGTTTAATGAACCTGTGGGAATTACATTGATCTATTGGCTGGTCATTCAACGAGAGTGGAAACAACTACTGAGGTAAATTCATAGATTGTAGACTGTCAGTGTCAAACCAGACAATGATAGTTTGGATGTGCATTTCTTCACGTTGTTCACACTTATGTTCTCTATGATTTGTTCACATGGCATATAGGTCAGGAGGTTGGCTCTCAAGAAATAATGCCAGTCAGCAGATGACTCAACTTTCACATATTATGTCAAGGTAGTAGTGTTAGGTTGTGAACCCCTTGAAATGAATGACAATATGTTTTGTAAGTAAAAACTAATGCAAAATGTTGGCCTGTCACTAGTGTCAGGATTACTCGGATAAACAGACAGTTTCATTACATTTCTCAACCAGTTCAAAAATTGTGCTAACGAGTACTTGTTATCAGTATTCACCAATAACCATTTTCAGTTTGATGATACTATTAACATTAGTAACATATTACATCTGCATGGTGTATTAACTTAAGATTTGACGTTCGCATTGTGTTGGTTCATTGGAGTATGAAAGTGCATGAACATCAGAGCTTGCGAATGACAAGCATTCATACAGATTCTAATGGTCCTGTTTGGACCTTGGCTTATCTACAGCCATATACGGCACATACCTTTAATGTGTGTCAGTATGATTCAAAACAAACTTGTGATAATGTTAATAATTTTTGTGGAACTAATTCTTCTGTTTATTGAGCAGCTGTACCTTGCATTCCAGATGATAATATCTTAATGTGAATTCCATTACTCAGATACAAAATGATTTTGGCAGGATGTTTAATTGACACGAGATTTGTTATTGTAATGTCTCTACCCAACTTGCTAAACAAGACTCCCTTGTGGTAGTTAACCCTTTAACATGTTTAAGTCTCAAGCTGATGATTCTGTAATGGATTGTGAGCTTGTGTTGATTCTGCTTTGATCCTAGTGATGTTTTCAACTCAAACCTTCTTACAGCTGATGCCTAATGTCTCCTTAAGTTGCATAATGACCTATTGTTGCATCACTTTTAGTATTATTCCTGACTCTGAGGGGTGGTGGGGTAGCCTAGTGGTTAAGCCATTCCCTTTTCACAGCGAAGGCCTGTGTTCGATTCTCCACATGGGTACAATTTGTGAAGCCCATTTCTGGTGTCCCCCGTGATATTGCTGGAATATTGCTAAAAACGGTGTCAAACCATACTCAGTCAGTCAGTCCTGTTTCTGGACCAGCTGCCACAATAATAGCAGATTATGATTATAACAGTTTTAACCAGTGAAACCTGTGGGTGATCTTAAATGCAATATTTGATGTCAAACAAATGATGATATCTCCCACAGGAGCCAGCTCATGACAGGACTCCACCAGTCACACACGTGATATGCTGTGTCATGATTTGAATTATCCCCATGTATGGTGTAATAAAGTCCAGTTTTGCTCTGAACTATTATAATTACAGCATGTTGATGCTTGGGGTAAAGTGAACTGTATTTCTTTTCTAACATGCCAAATGTAATACTTACTGCCTATTTTAATCTTGGCAGAAAACAATGAGAAAAGCAGCGGCGTTGGTGACCTAAATTAACAATCGTCGATCAGGGGACACTGACATGCAAGTTCTGTTGACTAGTCTGCCCCATATACATTACGACACACGTTACCAGGAAAACAAATGATAAACAGTTTGAAGACAGTTTACATTCTGGTTAAATATGGCGACGTTTCGGTATAGCTTCTTGGAAAACAGTATAAGAATCTATACCAAAACGTGGCTATTGTCAGCATAAAGAAGTTGATCATCCATAAAGTTTTGTCATCTCTGTACCAGCAACTTCTAGGATGCTACTCAATCAAATCAAGACTTATAGGGGTTCAAGCATTAGGGTCAGTACTTTCAGTGTATGAGTGTAGTATCCCAATATTTAATTTTTGTATATTTCTTTCAGACCAACTGATACCAAGTGAAGATGGATCGTCACATGTTTGATCAGATTGCTAAGATCACCGACAGCTTGTTCCTGTCAAGTGCAGCTGCTGTCCGGGGTGACCGTGTTGTTGGTCTGGGAATAACTCACATAATCAACTGTACCATGGATGTTCCCAACCTGAATGTAGCCAACGTAGAGTGTATACAAATCCATGTTGATGACACACCATCAGCACGACTCAGTCTCTACTTCGACCGATGTAGTGACAAGATAGACCAGATAGCAAGGCGGTGGTCGTGCCCTTGTACACTGTGTTGCAGGTGTAAGTCGCTCAGCTAGCCTGTGTATTGCCTACCTCATGAAGCATCACCATATGTCACTCAGACAAGCTTACTGGCATGTCCGAGCACGCCGCTCAGTGATACACCCAAACTTTGGATTCTGGCCGCCAACTCATAGACTTTGAACGTAGACTGACTGGCACAACATCAGTGAAGATGATACACTCAGGAATTGGGTACATCCCTGATGTGTTGGAGGAAGAGACCCGCAACATGATCTGGTTTGGACCCCAGTCGACATCATACTCCCGAGCTTATGGAGGTGGAACTTTGAGGTCTGACAGAGGCAGCAGTAACAGCATTGGCAGCAGCAGCGGAGGAGGGGCAACGTATCGATCATCATATGGTGGGGGCAGTTACCGGTCCAGATATGGAAGATACTGACACAGTTAACACAAGTAGTATTATACAGTGAGTGATGTGAGAGCGCTCTGCAGGCTGTGTCCATCAATATTTCCACCCGTAACACTGGGATATCCTATGACAGGCCCGTAGTACACAGAGTATACACCTTTATCAGCAATCAGCTGGGTGTGAAGGAATGAACACTACTGAACACTTTCTATTTATTATAATACTGTAAAGGCACTGTTGTTACTGCATGGTTTGGTTACTATTTATTGTTGTGTACATATGTATGAAGTGTTACCGGTTGTTGATACTTCCAGCATTCTGTAGTCAGGTATATTATGTTGTCAAGTAATACAGGCTCTTCAAGTCAATATAGTCCAAGCAGTAATTCTTATTCCAATTATTTGAATTTATTTTGAAAAGGTGTGCTAAGGAAGGTACATTTTTAAATTACTAGTTAAGTTTCTTAATACTGCGTTGTGTTTTTATACATCAATTTTACCTGCAACAGTATTTTATTCATGTCTTCATCAAGCTCATGTCCTCTTGTATAGAAGCTGTGTCATGAGGCCCTTAAAGCCATGCAGCAAATAAGCCGGCATATAGTCCACTAGGCTTCTTTAATGGCAAACACAGTCTCCACAAATGAATATTCTTGTTCTTAAGATTTTTTTCGCAAAAATGATTTATTAGATGAGCTTAGAAGGTTTCATAAATTTGCTGGAGAGATGTTTATATGTTAGGAAATGATGAAATACAGTAATTAACAATGCTAAAATATAACATCCTTATCCTGAAACTGGTTACTTCAAAATTCTTCTTTTATGATCAGCAAGTAGTCTGTTTGTGTTGTGATCATCATTGCTGGCAGATTTGGAAACACAATCTCCTCAACAGAAGCTAAAACTTAAGTCTTACAGACCACTATATTTGTTTGAAGTGTATTCAGGACAAGGTAATGATATGAGGCATACAATGTTGAGGTACAGATTTGTCAGATATGAATATATGAGGTCTACATTTATTAGCTCAACAATGCTCATCATCAAAGCACCTCTTCAAATTTCGAGTTAGATTGAAGTGCATACAATCAGATGTGTATTTTTGCAACATGTGATTTATTGTTTGATAAGAACAACTGATTTTGAGCTGACTACAAAGATATATTCTGTACTTTGTACAGCTCGGTGCTGCTAACCAAAGTTGTGTGTGTTCTCAAGGTCAGGATATACATGTAGATATATACGTAGAGCTAGTCTATTGCATGTTATAAGGGGTTCCGTCCCAATAACAGTCATACATATATCAAAGCATTATTGTATTTTCTTATTCAATTTTCTGATACATATATATAATTCTTATTTATCACTCACTCTAGTTCGAAAGGATTCTCTCAATGAAAATTTGATGAAAAAGAAAAAACGTTTTTCTATGTTGTCTGGTTGTTTTGTGGGTGGAAATTTGTTGTTCCAAACCAGTGTGAGCAGAGACATTTACATTGTTTTCTACTTCTCTCAGGCAGTACATTACGGTAGGTCTTGGGGCAAGTTTTATGACAGACCCATGTGTTTATCGCTGAAAATGTTAATGAAAAAAATCTCAAATATTTATGTATTTTCAACCTCTGGCTTTAGATGAAGGATAGCTGTCATGATCCAAAAAGATATTGAAGACAAGGCTTCACTGGAACTATAGCAATCACCATCAGTGCTGTCTCTTGGGGGTTATCCGGGACCCTCCCGAAGTAGCACACTCGATCACATAGAAAATATCTCTTACTATTATTGTATACTGTTAGTTTCATGATCTGACTTCTGTAGGTCATCAGGAGGATCTCAGGCACAAAGCAACAACAACAAATTGCTTCTATTAAAGCTGAGAATGAAGTTGAATGTCCATGATTCAGTATACAACAATCTAGACAAAGTAGTCAAGGGTTAGTGAGCATGTGTTAGATAAGGGCCATGTTGACAGCATAGAATGTCCAGTAGATGGCTAGGACTGACCAGTCCATTTCGTGAGGTGTTCATAAGTGAACTTTCACTGAATGCTTTTATTTTATATAAGTAATTTCAATTCATGAATTATATTTATGATATCCAAACAAAAAATCCGTTTTTTAAGGACATATATATTTTGATTTTAAATCTTAACTTTTGTGTCGACGTTTCAGTGAATGTGCCTTGCCATAAACATGAAATCAGCATTTTAGGTCTTGTGTAAATACATTTCTTAAGATATTTTCACATAACTAGTCATGGGCATTTCCCACCGAGTGCTGAAGCACAAATGATGACAAACAGGCCACTTCCTTGTACCGTCTTCAGCTGGAGCAGAAGGCAAATTACAAACATAACAAATATGTTTTCCTTGGAACAAAACTATATGATATATTTTTTCCTTGAAGCCTACAGGGGGTATTAGGCTTCTTTATATATTTGTTTTAGCATGTTTTGTGACATAAAATTAAGGTTTTGCTTGTCCACAAAATATACAAAATAATGTGTCTGGCCTAATTACCATGTAGCTGGGACCTAAAGAATATTATGCAAAGGGTGTTTTTATGACTGTTGTAAGTTTCTCTGAATGTGTTGTTGTTGTTCCTGTTGACAAGATTCCTGTGTATAGACAGTTACAGCATGACATGTGTCAGCTGCATCGTCAACATTTCCTGGCTGGTTATGGAGCAGGAGCAGTGCTGTTGTTTTTCTCTTGGTTTTGTTGATCATTTGCTAGAATTATTTACATAATTCCAGACTTTGTTTTAGATTGGTGTTTTATGTTTATAGTGTATGGCAGTAGCTCCTTGATCTGTCACACACCCACAACACACCACACATGCAGTGCTCACCTCACACAGTTACAGTCTGTAGTAGGAAATTTCTTTCTTTTTTTAGGTTTGTATTGTTTATGATTTTGTCTAAAGAAGGGCATGTTTTCAAGAGCCTCTAATCCTGAGTTTGCCTGTAGCAATAAGTTAGATGTGCTGTCTCTCACATGAGGATTGGGCTCCACAGGGTTGACCATACTGTGCTGGGCATGGCTATTTATTGGATTTTTCCAAAGAATTTTGAATCAAGATGATTAATTCATTTCAGCAGTGTTGAGAGCGTTTCTTTCAGTTTTGCAATAATTTTACATCAGTATTTATCAGTTTATGAAGAAAATTCTAATATTTCATGTTGCTGTATTTAGTTCTTGTCATGTTATGATGGTATCATATTCATGTATATTTATTTTCTTGTAAAACTTTTGATGTGGAATGCTTAAATAGATTATCTCCCTTAGACTGTAATGTTTTATTCTCTGGAAATACTGAAAGTAGCAGTTGTTTACAACGGCCAGCTTGTGCCAGATCGTTTGTTTAATTCTTTCTAAAACATTTTCAACAGAGTATGAACATGTTACTATGGTTCTGTGGAGTTGTTTCACTTTCCTTCAGACAATAGTGTTGTCTCATGTTAAGTATCTGTGCCAGCAAACAGTGCACACTTCTGTTGTCGCTTCTCAAGACAATGGGGGACTTATAATCACTGCTATATTCAGCTGCTTCATTTAAAAAAAATTCTGTTTTTTTTAAGAAGAGTATTTTGTATTGTGTGGTGATATGTCACTTTCATGACAAATTATGCTGACATATTTTGTAAGAGTATTTTAAAAGTTTTCAAATTAATCAAAGTGTACTTACAGCTTACTTCATATTTGAGGGAAAGGCTTACCTTTCAGATTGAGGAGTAATTCAAAGACATCATTGTCTGTTTCAGCAGTAGACAATATACTCATTCTATCTCCCTTGGACTCAATCTGTTCCAGTCATTTAGAGTTTATTTCCTTAGCCAGCGGTTATAAAATGTACTCTGAAGACATCTCCTCTGCTACTGTGTGACCCGTACCCTCTTCCTCTGCTAGTGTGTGACCACTACTTTCCTGTGTGATCACTACCCTCCTGTGCTAGTGTGTGACCACTACCCTCCTCCTGTGCTAGTGTCTGACCATCCCCCTCCTCCTCTGCTAGTGTGTGACCACTACTTTCCTGTGTGACCACTACCCTCCTGTGCTAGTGTGTGACCACTACCCTCCTCCTGTGCTAGTGTCTGACCATCCCCCTCCTCCTGTGCTAGTGTCTGACCATCCCCCTCCTCCTCTGCTAGTGTGTGACCACTACTTTCCTGTGTGATCACTACCCTCCTGTGCTAGTGTGTGACCACTACCCTCCTCCTGTGCTAGTGTCTGACCATCCCCCTCCTCCTCTGCTAGTGTGTGACCACTACTTTCCTGTGTGACCACTACCCTCCTGTGCTAGTGTGTGACCACTACCCTCCTCCTGTGCTAGTGTCTGACCACCCCCCTCCTCCTGTGCTAGTGTCTGACCACCCCTCCTCCTGTGCTAGTGTGTCTGACCACCACCCCTCCTCCTGTGCTAGTGTCTGACCACCACCCTCCTCCTGTGCTAGTGTCTGACCACCCCCCTCCTGTGCTAGTGTCTGACCACCACCCTCCTCCTGTGCTAGTGTCTGACCACCCCCCCTCCTCCTGTGCTAGTGTCTGTGTCTGACTACCCCCCCTCCTCCTGTGCTAGTGTGTCTACTTTCCCCCTCCTCCTGTGCTAGTGTCTGACCACCCCCTCCTCCTGTGCTAGTGTCTGACCACCCCCCCTCCTCCTGTGCTAGTGTCTGACCATCCCCCTCCTGTGCTAGTGTCTGACCACCACCCCTCCTCCTGTAATAGTGTCTGACCATCCCCCTCCTCCTGTGCTAGTGTCTGACCACCCCCCTCCTCCTGTGCTAGTGTCTGACCACCACCCCTCCTTCTGTAATAGTGTGTGACCATCCCCCTCCTGTGCTAGTGTCTGACCACCCCCAGTTCCTGTAACTGGTGACTGATCATTAGTTTGTTGCTTAATTGGGGTTTTGGAAGGCCTCTTCTGCTGTTGTGGGATATTCCCCCATTGGGATGAGGCTAGTCTGAAATAGGTCCTGAAGATGCATGGTATTAGAGCCAAATGAAACAACATGATTCTCATACAATCAATAGGTGTAATGAAGGAATGGGCACTATACACGAGTTTGTCTTGTGCAGATTAAAATCCATACAAGCTACCAGGATATGTACTGTATATGTATTGCTGCATATGCTTTCACTCCCACTCCCACCAACAATATTACTAGAAGCCTTCTACCTGTCTAAAGCAGTGTACTTGGTCGGCCTTTTGTAGGGAGAATACACATGATTATGAGTGTAGAATTCAGGATATTGCTTAGCACAGTTATAGGTATACAGGATGGGGCATATCTCTTGTTTCTCATTGCTGCCAATCATAGTTTCAAAGGGAGGGATTAAAATAGAGTTTATGGCTTTTTTGGATTCCTTTGATGAAGGAGAAAAGGAAAGTAAGTTTTCTAAATCTCCAAAGAAAAAAAGTATTCTTTTTGACATGTTTTATAGCTGTAGAGTGTGAAAAACTAATTCCCAGTGTAAGGCAGGAAATATGTGTGATGGCCGATTGAGGCGTTTGGTAGGAAGAGTTAATGTAGTCGAGTGGGAGTTGCCATGTGATTGGTTTGTGCCAGGAGATACCACATGATTCCCTGCTCCAGGAATAATCTGTGATGCTAATTTTCAAATTTGTTGTTTGTTTTTTGTAGATCCTGTTCTCAACTTTTATTTATACTTTTTATACCATTAAAATGTTGAAAAAAAAGTGTTCTGTTAAACTGGAAGGAAACAAAAACAAGGTAGAGTATCAACTACACCTTCTAGAACTGTCAGCCACTATGTGTGTTGGTGGTTTTGAACACTGTTGCCAAGATTCAACTCTTAAATAAAGGGGTATGTTTACATTAGCCTTTATGCTGTCTTCACCAATGTAGCATAAAGGGTTTTTCTCTTTGTTATCTAGAGAGTGATTGAAAGGTTTTAGGCATAATATCAAGGACATGACACAATAGACCGTCCCACGTCGTGGAGGTTTCACGTCATCTCTGATGCATACTATCCTTACAGTAGGACTATACACTTCCAAAACAGACATAGGCCCAACTAAAACCAGCTGGATTTTGTGCAAAAAGGTCTGTAAGGCATCATTCTGGCTGAGTGTCATCACTACACTATTTATAGTGGTGCCAAAAGCATAAGTTAAGTCTTCCCACCACATTTTCTTCTTCAAAGAGAAATGGTAGAACACGTGTACAGGAGAAGTAACACATGCTTACAGAAAATACTTTCAAGAAATGGACAGATTTGGTGGAGATCCAAGAATCTGACCTTGATCACTTCAAAGAAGCTTCTCTTGGCTTACACTATCTGTGGCAATGAGTCCACACTACCATCCGCAATTCTTGCAAATACGTATCACATCATGAACATAATTATATCAGTTCTGACCCTGTTTACATGCACACTTTTTACTCGTGTGTATATTTGCATATGGAGTATATTTGCATACGTGAGTAAAAGTATGTTTACTTTGCATATACATGAAGAATTGGAACCTATGTGTATTTTATGTTATGGTCATGTGTTTCTGTCTCATTTTGAGTTTTTCACATCTGAGGCAAGCGTAATACATGATTGAGTGAGTGAGTGAGTTGGGATTTGCGCCGCTTTTTAGCAATATTCCAGCAATATCATGGTGGAGGACACCAGAAATGGGCTACAGACATTGTGCCCATGCAGGGAATCAAACCAGGGCCTTCAGAGTGATGGGTGAACGCTTTAACCACTAGGTCACCCCACTGCTCAGAAATGATTGAGAGATGTATGTTGAAGTATCAAGATTTTCCTTTGTTGGTAGTATCCAAAGCCACTCTATCCATTTACAGTGTCAAAGATGTGTTCACCGCCTTTGAATCGCAAGGGATGGTATCCATTATTTTGCAAGGTGTATGTGACTACAGGTACCTGTTCACAGATATCAGATGGTTGGCCTGGCCGGGTACATGACATTTGAGTATTTGGAAGATCACATTTCTGTCGAGGTGAAACAAGGAATCTCTTACCAGAACGGACCAAGACTCTTACAAGCCAGCGCAAAGCAGTCACCATTCCCATTGTACTTGTTGGAGATGCTGCTTACCCGCTGAAGACATGGTTGTTAAAAACCATATACCAATCACACATTCTTATCCCCTTCACAGAAAGATTACAACTGACAATTGAGAACTCATTCGGAGGTTTGAAGGGACGTTGGCGATGCCTACTGAAAAGCCTGAATATATCAGAGGCTGTTGCAAGCACTGTGCTGTGTGCTTGGGTTGTTGCATCATATTTGTGAGCTGTGCAGTGAAAGGATAGATGATGCCTCCTAGCAGGGTGATGGCATCAACAACGGTGCGAATGTTGAAGAAACAGTACAGAGCAATGAAACACTGAGAAATGACCTCCGCTTCAGACTCAGAGCTGTATGACAGACTATCACGGCTTCTCTTCAGGCATTCCATGCTTTCAATCAGTTTCACTGGCGAAGAAGCTGATGTACTGCCTAAGCTGGTGTACTGAGTACTAGACATTTCATAGCCATTTTGGAGCGTTTCTGATTAAAAAAGTTGATAAATAGAGGTATTGCTTCTTTTTGGATCATCAATCGGATCTTCTATGTCTTCCTCCTTCCAAATTACCAAAAGATACTCAGTTTCTTCATCAGACCAGGCAACTCTCTTTTGCTTTCAAGGCATTTTGAGAGTCAGAGAACTAGATGTATCAAAAGGCAGCTTATTGTGTGCTTGTAATAGGAAGACTAAGCTGGTCATGTGACTGGCAGGGTCCATAATGTGTATATAAAGCTATGGTGTAGACATGTCTGGTCTATTAATGGTATATGATGCAATCATATTTAAAGAGGTATGCAATATGGTGTTGCGTTTACACCAACACATTTATATAGGGTGCACATTTACATATATGCAAAAATAATACAGGACACTTGATATGGATGTTCAACTTCTTAATTATTTACACACGACGGTTCTGGAATAATACATGCCCCTTCATCAGATGAGGGGGCAAGTATTAGCCCAGAAACATCGTATCAAGTGTCTTGTATTACCACCCTACCAGCTTCTAAATGCCTATCAAACATCTGTGCAAAAGTACTTTTGCACTACTTCTAGAGGATGTGCAAATTTAATTCTAGAATATGGAACGTACTAGAACTCACTTGTTGGGGATGCAGAGATTCGCTTAGCAATCTCACCGAGGTATAATAGATGTGCTTCTTGTACTTTGATTGGTTTTAAGTAACCATTCTTGTCGTAAGAGGCGACTAGCGGGATCGGGTGGTCAGACTCGCGGACTTGGTTGACACATGTCATCGCATCCCAATTGTGTAGACCAATGCTCATGCTGTTTATCACTGGATTGTCTGGTCCAGACTCGATTATTTACAGACCGACGTCATGTAGCTGGAATATTGCTGAGTGCGGCGTTAAACAACAACCCAACCAACCAATCTTGCACTTTGAGAGGCTTCATATAAAAGGGTCGTTGACGCTTTTGAAATACCTGTAGCAAAGCAAGAGATGGAAACACCCAAATAGTAGGGACCAGTGACCGAGTTGGTTAGATCGATGACTTAGTGTGTTGGTGCCAGCCTGAGAGTATGGTTTCGAATCCCGGAGGGGAGAATGTGTAATCCCAAATATAGCATATGCAAAACGAAGCTATCTTTCCCAAGAAATTCTTTCAGTTCAAATGAACTTATGATGTGACACGATGTCCGTTCCTCGTAAACATCAATATTTTCGTCGTCCTCTCATTTTCCACAACCTGTGAAGATTCGGGTTAGAATTGGCAACCTACGCTCGTAAAGCATCGGGGTGGTCAAGCTCGATGACATGGTTGACAAAAGTCATCGTATCCCAATTGCGTAGATCAATTCTAATGACGTTGATCACTGGATTGTCAAGTCTATATTCGATTATTTACAGATCTCTGCGATATAGATGGAATATTGCCGAGTGCAACATTAAACAACAACAAATTCACAAGCTCCATAAAGCTGAATCAAGGACAACCTAAACTCACAGAATTCCCATCCGATGGCTGCCACAGCCGTCATATTGATTTAATGTGGATCAATATTCAGCGATTTTTCGCGTGTATTGATCTACGCTAATGATATTTCATATTCGTACAAAAGAACATATTTTGTATATTGTATAATAACTACTATGGTTGTTCAGTAGACCGAGTCGTTATGCAGCTAGGCCTTCCCGGTAACTACTGTTTCTAAAAAGCAAGCGAGGGTAACTTATTGTTGCCAACAGTAAAGCAGACACTAAACCATCCGCTGTACAGTGGAAAGGGTCCGATCGGTTCAGGTTGTAAAGCAGGCAATCCTAGATCATGTAATTTATTTTGGGGATGTGTAGGACAGCTTACATCGTCACTTGAAATATTATTGCTGAGGGACAAACACTTCCACAGTACTACAGTCAGGAGTTTGGGTTAGGAATTACAAGATACTTCAATTATCGGGAAGACATTTATGATAGAAATTGGTTACAATGACACTTTCGGTGGATGTGTAGAAATTATACTCGGGGTTTTTTTTTTCATTGGTTTAAAACTATTTTTGTTTCTCTTTTCGCCTTACTGATCGGATTCAAGATTGTCTGTCACCTACTGTCTGTCCGCGGATATCTGTCTTGTCACGGAGTTGCTGCATTGACATGGACGAGGCATGTTGCAGTCTGTGTATCAGATCGAAAACCATATCTGTGTGTTGCGCAATAGTAGTGTTATCACAGGATTGAGTGACCTTTGACCCTG